CCGAAGGCCATGCACGTCATAGCAATGCTGAGACAGGCTTAATGCCTGGCGGTGTGACAACAGGGGCAATGGATGCAGGAAAGGGGAAACAGACACAGCCATACCATCTGACTCCCACTAGTAATGGGGAGGCAGTAGCATCGAGCTCACGCCAATCACTGAAGGACGAATCGACTGAAGATCCTTTTGCCGACCCGCATTCTGATGAAGCAAAGGCTGCCGGTGGCTCGTCAATACAGCCCATGCCCGAATTTCCGCATGAACCTTTTCACCCGGGCTTCGGTGGGCCGCTGTCCAGTCACAATGTCGGTCCAAACGGTGTGGGTAGTTCTAGCTCTCGGTCTGGGTTGGCCAAAGAGCAGTCGCCACATAACAGGCATCAAGATGTCTCTGAAGATGACGATATCTATGAGGCAACACCGAAGGGCAAGGGCCCCCTGAACAAGGAATAACCGTGCGCATGGACAGTATGCTGTAGAAAGTGATTGTAGCTGTGATGGGTTGCTCAAGTTGGTCAACCTTCTCCATGTCAGTCTCTAGTGAACATGCACTCCTTGCTGGTGAGTATCAAGGAGAGTATGACTTGATTCATGATTCTGTTGGGCATTTTGTGCCAAACTTGAGATTTTGTTTTCTGCTTCGTTTTCTTTTTCTTTTTCTTTTTTTTTAAGAAAGATGATGATTCCCCATGCTGTTATTGTTTCTGCTTTTGATACAACTTCAGACGAGGATCATTCGGTTATTGTTGGCAAGAACTACACCCGGCAAAGCGCTCAAAGGCATCTGTAGCGTGTTTCATCAGATTGTGCTAGCTTTCTTGAGAGCATTGCATGGAGGCTAGTGTATAACAGAGATGTGTTCAAATTCGCAGTCTTTATAGCGGACGTGCCGTAGCTTCTAGATTGTCGAGGTGACATTTCACATCCACGGCCTGAGTTATAGGGCTATAGTCAGCTTGCACCATTAGCTCTTGCCTCGTGATCACTGACCAGACGTGCATAAGTCGATGTCTAGTCACACATGGATTAACTCCAAAACAAGTGACCAGAAATGTGTCTTTTGGATTAGCATCCACGCGCGGATTTGTCGACCGAGGATTCGGCTGGATTGTAGCTGTGGATAGGAAGAGTTGGTGAATTCCAACGGCCCTTCGGGTTGTCGAGCATATCCGTCCGTCTTGGGCTAGGAGTTCTCACGGGTTCTAGTGTGATTCCACAACATGTGCCGAAGAGCGTGCAATAGATGGATCGGTGGATACTCCAATTGACGGCACTTTGCTAAGCGTGCGAGCAGCATATGGATGTAGGCCAAACGTCTCTCACGCCGGCATTGGTCTGACCGACTTGTGGCCATTTACTTTGGGCAAGTTGTCTTGGATACTCATATCGAGCGGCGGCGTCGTGTAAAGTCAAATTTTGAACCCGACGAAGTCAAGGCTTACGGTATGTGACTATGGCACGACAGCCTGACAGGCAAGCGGTTGGTAGGACAGCAGACAAGTGCTGAAACCATGCGAAGATTGAGATGGTGGCTTGCCGATTTTCGTACAGACGCCAATAAGCGTTCGATAGTCTTCGGACTCTGGATGTCGTGGATGATTTGGATGGAATGTGTTCGACCACTTGGTTTAGGTGCTCCTCCCGCTGGGACGGGCCACTCGGTGAAGCTGAGCAGTCAGGCGGGGAGATATTGCACCCGTCGCAACCAGTCGCAACATTGGCACTTCCCGCATGCACCTGTACAGGGCTCGAGTCGAAGGGAAGGAGTGAGGGTCTCAGAACGGATAAAAGTGGAGATAACTGTGAACTACGGAGTACGGCAGGTGCAGATCCATGCGTGCATAGAGGGACTCAAGCTCCAAGCTCCATCCTCCCAACTCCTCAAATTGACCTGCCGCTCACGACTTGCACATGCGTGCATGTCTTTGGTCGAGAACAGACAAGACACACGACAAGTAAGGAGGCTGAGCCCAAATTACACATGCTTTGGTCACGTCTCGCATTTCAACGAGGTGGCGCGCCGTCGACGGGCTCTCCATGCAAAACATACTTAGTACTTACTGCCTAGTCGGACGCCCTTTCCCAATTTCCATAGGTGAGACGATTACAAAGAGCTTTCAAAGCAAAGCTGTTGGAGGCTGACATTGTCCTAAAGTGGCTCACCGTCCTCAAGTCCAGGATAGCCATGTGTCGCGTATAATATTGCGAATCGGGTTCAGGCAATAGGCTCAGTACCATGCGGTAGGCTTGCCCGGCCGCAATCTTCGCGGCCAAGGGCCTGAAACAGGATATCGATGTATTTTCTCCTACACTTCCGAACACTTTCCAGATGAGCAAAGACACACACATGAATCTATTTTCATGGTTCTGGCCTGCATCACTACTGGCCGTCTGACGTCCGGTCTTTGATGCCCCCGTCTCGATCCGTGGAACTGGGAACTGCGAAGTGGCACTCCAGCTCATGTGGCGCTCAGATCAAACCTCCACCCTCCGCCCTCATCGACCCATTTCCATCGTCCTTTTACCGATCGGCAGTTGATCTAGTTACGTCGGGTTGAAACAGAATGCATCGCATGTACAGCTGCGAGTCTATGCATGCTTTTGGTATTGCCAGACCAACATTGAAATCTGTTCATCCGTCTTTTCTACGATCTCAGACTGGGGTTGCGGTTGTGCGTTTGTTGTCGGTGTTAAGCCCACACACAGCCCAGCGTCGCACATGCCGGACCTGATTGGATAGTTGCGGCAGTGAGATTTCCTGTTTGGGACTTTCTTGCGAGAGGCGACCAGTTTTCTGCTGGCAGCTCGCACCCGCGATTTATGGGGTTTGGGTTCATGGATTCGCGAGGAATGCACAGGCAGGTACACGGTCTTCCCTGGAGCCGTTAGCGGTCTAAGCTGAAGTCTGTTCCTATTTCGCCACTTCATCAGACATCTGGTACTGGTCACACCACTGACCGTCATCTGGATATCGCCAAAGTCCCCGGCGGCCCGAAACCCGTCGCCCTCCTGCCATGGTGGCTTGGTTAAAACTGATCGGGCACCTGGAAAGCAAATCGTCTTTGTCACCAGACCACCCCGGGGATTCTATCTATTTATTACGATTCGAAATCCTTCCGCTCCAGAGGCTGGGTGGTCTCACAAACCCTTACTTCATAGTCTCATTATTATCTATGCTCGTACAAACCTCGTGCCCACCTGTCTTTGCCTTAACCCAAATCCACCACCACCAGCAGATGAGCAATTATGTAGTTTGTGCTGCGTCTCTCCACAAGCTCTTTCCTGGTCCCTCCACACCTGTCGCAGCCCTGCCTGGTCCGGTGAAAACATCGTTTCGAGCACATATTTGGGACCCGGCTCCCCGGAAACACTGCCCTTTCCATCTAAGTCGCCGATCATCGCTTCCTTGCTCCTAGTCTTATTATTAAGTGACCGGTAAGAAATGCGCTTCTCAAACGGAAAAAGACTCTATGCTGACATACTCGGCTTGCTATTTTAGTTAGTAGTAGTCCGGCGTCGGCAAAGCCAACAATATCTTGACTTCACAACCATCCGGCAACTCTCAACCCCACCCGAACCGCGTTGATACTGGCATTTTGTAATTTTTAATCCGTCCTGTCTATATGGATCCTAGCGCTAGGCAATCCTGTTCGAGTCGTCAGAAGTGTCGTTGTGCTACTGCAGCCACCTTTGGGCTCTCATTTATAGCTAGCTGACAGCCTTGACAAACCCGTTATCAACTTGCCGGTTGACTTTGCTTCTTTGCGCACATACCTGCCGCAGGAGCCCCCAGACTGGTACTCACGTCGCTGTCTGCTGGTACCGGGCTAGGGAAATTGCTCAAGGCTGCGAACCGATGGTTTCTCCAGTCTTGTCCACCCGGTCACGACTTGGCAAACCGTCCCTACCATAGGACCTGTACTAATTATTGATACCTGATCATTTTGGTTGCTACTTTAGTACCATGGGCTCTTCTGAGTCTTTGCCTATGGCGGACTATAGCTATTCAACGGCACATTGCAACATTTCATCGTTGTCAAACACACCTCGTCATGCGAACATTGCTGGCCGGGCCTCCCTTTCGCCTCTGAACTGTAGTCGGATTCTGCAACGATACATGCAAAGACTTAGTTCAGAGATTCTAATGTCAGTTTTGGAACAGGTGAGAACAATATCCTGCGTGGTTATGATGATTCTGGTGTAGATGAAGCACGAATGCAACCACACTGTTGCAAGCTAACTAGTATTTGTGCCCCAAGCTTCAATATTTGGATGCAAAGTCGATATTTGTCGTCCGCTCCGTTTCTCAGTTATTCAACTCAATAGCAACTCCAATCGCGTATCGAAGAGTTGTCTTGAACGAGTTGATTGTGCATCCAGATGCCCAAAGGCTGTTTTCCAAAGCGTTGGAGCATATTTCAACTCATACCAACCATGTTGTTGTTCGAAACAACCTGATGCCTTCTGGCATAAAAAGAATTTTGTCTCGTATAACGAGGCTGTCTTCCATCACGTACGTCCCAGTGAGGTTTCGAAGAAATGTAAATCAAAGCCTGACCAGATGATATCTAACACTCGAGTAACAGTCTACGCTACGTGCAGGATGATACCCATGGCGCAAGCATTTGGCCGATAAACGATGTTCTTGATTACGATCAACTACGTACTCAGAATACCAAGGTGAAAATAGAAAATCTCCCCTTGGGCGGCTCGCAAAGTGACTTGCATGCATCACTACTTGATCCAGCATTTACAAGGCATCTAGTGTCATTGAAACTCGCCAGACCGACACCGCCATTGACGACAAAAGTAGATTCGTTGAAGCGTCTTTTAGTGCAGTGCCCATCTTTAGAGACGTTGCATTATGAAGACCTGGGCCAAGGCACTAGCTTTACGTTTTCAGCAGGAGAATGTCTGCCACCGCTTTCCCATCTGGTTTTGAGATCCTACGATTGGGCACACTCTGCAGAGGAGGTAGAGAGGCACTGGAACCTGTCCAATATGAAATCTCTCGTCCTTGTTTCTGTGCCAGTATTTAACTTCTTAACTTCCATTTCTCCACAAGATTTGTGCAACTTGACGAGATTGCAGGTACACAACAGCTTGGCATACGCCTCTGACGGACGAGAAGACGGCACCCGAGAACTAGATTTACTCGTGAGGAAGCACATCAGAGCCTTGGAAGTCTTGGACATTACTTGCCACACCGGCCGATTCCATATCGACTCTATACTGCAGCATGGTGGTTCTCTTCGACAACTCCATTTTCGCGACCACGTCGGATTCAGTCACGATGATGGTCAATGCCCGACGTTGCGGGCAGAGGATGTCGCAAGGCTGGGGCAAGGCCTGCCGTTCGTCCACACACTCGAGTTGGACATGGACGCCGCGCTGTGTTATCCTCCGGAATTTCTGCGTGGCATAGCCTCCTTCCCGATGCTCCAGACTCTGATCCTTCACGTACAGACCCTTCTGCGTGCAACCGAGAAGGACGACCCGGCTCGGGACCGCGATTACGAATCAGCCATGCAGACATTTTCCTGCCTTGTACGACTGCGGGAGAAGAGCAACCCTGACTTGGCGTGGAGGAGCATCACCATCAATGTAGGCGGATGGCGGCGGGTCATGTTGCGAAGAGTGGGCTCAGAGTGGAAGAGGAAGAATGCACGGGGCATTTTTGCAGAGAGATGCTTTGTGCTCGAGAAGGATGAGACCGGACGGTACAAGGTTGCAGAGGAAGAATGCCACGACGGGTCGCAATACACTTCGACGTCGCAGCTCTGACGCCAGATGCAGCCCCTGTTGGTCTCGAGTTGTATTTTCAAGCCACATGACGCGAATGAATGGACGGCCAACATAGGAACTTGTGATGGAAGAAATATACCCCATCTGGCATTCAACTCGCACTGTCTCTACAAGGTGAATTGATTGCTCAAGCGCCAAAGGTACGACTATAGGGTAAGCAAGCCATCTCCTCGACGCAAACAAGGGATTAAAAGGCTTCTTGACCGGGTCTAATGCCTGGCATCAACATGGACAGAGTGGCCGTTCTTGGAATACGCATTCGGCCAATGCCGCAGCTCACATGCCACCAGGTGGCAGCAGATCAAACAGCCTGCCGTGTCATGCAAAACACGGGCTTGACGGTTTCACCACAGGCAAAGCCTACCGACGCGCGCCGCGGCTTCTCTCTACGCCAAACGGGCACAGCAAGACACGGCTGAGTAAGTTGACATTACTCCGTATTGTACCAGACATTCGTCCAAGGATTCGTTGGCCCTGCAGGGGCCCGACCGGGCTGTATGCGGCCCGGATGGAGCCGCAATCTCCCGTGACAGGTCCAGCCTCCCGATTTATTCTGCGTCCAAGGACGCGGATGAGGCCGCGCCTCCCCGCTGTGGGGTCGTAGGGCTCGCTGAAGGTCTGTTTCTAGGGTCTTGTAAATCGAATTACCGGCGGGAGACGGCGTATTTTTTGATTGTCGAGGGCTCTTGTTGTTGGTTGCGTAGACGGGGGTAGTTGGTGTTGGCCGAGAGGGCCGTTCGGTCAGGTTTGCCCGATGGACAGTCCAGACCGGGGCACGTTGGCGATGGGTGCCGATCTGAACGGGTTTAAGGATTATGCGGCTGATGTTTTCCTGTTCATCTTGGTGGAGGGCAGGCGGATTGTTGGAGCGTTTGGGCGCGGCGACGAGTGTGGGAGTGTAGTTGGGGGGCCGCGAATATCAAACGTGCTTTTGTTGGACGCTGCTTTGGTCCTGGGACAGGGACGGCTAAGCACCGGGTTGGATGTGCCTTGTCGTCGAGGTGAGTTGATATTTCTAGACGGCAATGTGGTGTATTCCGCCATGGGGACTGGGAGGCCTTGTTAGTTCCAGCTCGGCTGCCTGTGTGCTGATGAGACCTTGTGCTTTCGTCGGAAGATGGAACAGCCGACTATGGCATTGTTAGTATGTTTGAAAAAAGAATCTAGAAGAATAAAAAGGCGGGCTATAACGCATCGTGCCCTCGAGGCAGAGCCGTATATGTCGGTAACTTTGGATCCCATGTACAACTCTAGAAGAAGTAAATCATATAAACGACTTTCAAAGGCCACCAGAACAGGGAAAGAGTCCAACACACTGCTTCAAGTCATCTTGTCGCCGTTCAGCAATAAGTCCTTGTTTCTGTCTATTGCGGCCAGCATACCGCTTACACCCGGAGCCGAGAGCAAATATCAACTCCAACCGTCATGCCCGGCGTCCCGGCCATCCCCTCGACAGTTACGTAACTTTCAATCAAGTACAACGTACAACGCAGCTTTGTCAAATATACTCCCCCCCCCCCCCAAAACAGCCGCTTCACCACCGAGAAGAAGTAACAAAAGAGAACTCACATTCTGCTGCAACATGGTCATATTCCCGGCCCAAGTGGCGTCCGGAGTACGGTGCCACCAAAGTATAGTCCCACGGCCCAATAACTCGGGGACACCAGTTCAACCATGCCGGGGCTGTAAATCGCGGCCGAGTACCGTCTTGGCCGGCTGATGGCCTCATCGGACAACTCAGCTGACGGAATAGCGCGGGCTTTGACCTCGGTGGTAGGACGGCGCTTTGTTCGTTCTCCTTCAGGAGGACCCCAAGAAACGCCGGGCAAGACGGGGTACCACCGACAACGGGCTTCAAGAAACACCCAGACAGCTGCAAATCATCCCTTTGTTCCCCCTGCATCACGATCGTTCCCCCTGCGCGTTCCCGGGTCTGCGGCAAGACGAGGGGAGGGCCACACGGCGTAGCCGCCCAGCTTTGATATCCCCTACCCCAAAGCAACAAGTCTTGCGTGCAAGAAAAGCAGTCTCCTCGGCAGCTCAGAAAGCAACACATGATCTACAGCCCACCTTCAGCGTGGCGTCAAAGCCATCGGCTAACTCCCCGCCTCCGAGATAGCGTTGCATTCGCTGTCACCGTCAGCCCTTCCGGCGGCCCCCCCCTTCTTCCCAGAGGAAGGAAATCCCAATTCCTCCAGCGCAACGGCATCTCAAGCACATGATACCATGGCAGGACAAGAAAAGGCAGAACCTACGACTGACTCGAAAAAAAAGGGCAACTTGATTTTTGCCGGCACGGCTTTAAAGGGATGGGCCCCATGGCCGTTTCCGGCGACGACAACACCGGCTTGGCATTATATGTCACATTTTTTTTGCCTTCAGACTCCCATGAGTCGAGGATAAAAAAATCCTGCAAGCAATATTATTGGAAAAGGGGCGCAAACCACACCCCGGGATCCGGAAAAGGCGAGCCCTTGGTAGGGGAAGCGTTGCTGTATCCGGCACTAGGGAAAAATACATGACGCTCATGGACCTCGCGTCAAAACCACGGGGGAGGGTTAACAAAGCAACCACTCCCGTGCCCTCCGGCGTCCGTCTAGGGAAGCCATGTTGTGCTCTTCCCACGGGCCGTGTGCCCGTCGCCCAAAGTACCCCGTACAAGAGGCGCAAGACGTCAGAGTTTCCGCGCGCCTGCCTCTCTGTGGTGGTTTCTACTCTTCCTACTGCGGCGAGCCGTCCCCCTTCCGTCCGGCCCGGATGGAAATGTTTGTAGCTTGCCGGGTACTCCGTGACGGGGGAGCCAAAAGTGGCAAAATCCCGTCCGCGGTGTTTTGCCACGAGAAGAAAGTGTCACCAGTGGACTTTTGACGCAGCACCACAATGAAATACCAAGGGGTGCACAGGAAGGAAGGGCCCATCTACTTTTTGCAAGACACGATTCCCCCCAAGGTCCTGTTGACTCGACGCAACATCCAAAAAAGACGAGTCCGTTGGTGAACCCTCCGTGTATCAAGCCCATCAACACCGTCAGTTATGGTTTTCTGCTACGAGTTTTTTTTTTTACTTTTTGCCAACGGGGGCTAGAGAAACCAAGAGACTAAAAAACCGCCGCTAGCCCGAAATAAGAGGGGATCCTGTGTTTCTCCCCAGAGGCATCACCAGCATTCCAGTTGCCACCACTCATACGCCACCCCCTACATTCCACACCTCGCCAATATCCGCTACCAGGCCCTCGGAGCCAGGCTAGGGACGGTTTGCTCGGTTGGTGATTGGGTTTTATTTGGCTCTCCGTTTCTTGTGATACTCGCTCCTTGGCCCCTCCCTCTTCCGCACCCCCGAGCTCCTTTTTTTTTTCCCTGCCCTTGCCCCCTTTTTGATAATAGTTCGACGGCCCAAGCACTATACACACCCTTGTGGGCTGTTGAGAGTCATGGCCAAGTGAAGTGACGAATAAAGGGGGGAGGGGGGGAGAGGGGATGGAAGATGCCGTGCCACGAGGTGCGGTTGTGAGGGCGGAGGAGGAGTGCGCTTTTTGGCTCGACGGGATTGATTCCCTATGTTTTGCCACCGGGTTGTGGGAGACGTACCGAGCACAACGTCCCAGAGACGGGCTAGAGGACTCTCTTGGTTTCTGGTTCAAATACGTGCCGACGTAACCACGTGCCACGCCAGGCCAGATACCAAAGGGTGTGTGAAGGAGAACACCACGGCCCCATGTCCAGTCCGTGAATATCAAGCTAACAAGACGGCGGGTGCTGAAACAAGTCCACCAGCTCGTCGTGTACCTGCGTCTGTCCGATTTGTCGTGCATTTCGCCACCTCGGGCATGCAGGAACGCTCCCAGATCCCGGGCACATGTCTCATCTTGGCCCCGAAACACTCTGACAACGCGCAACGGCTTTGATCCAACGACGCGTGAGAGAGGGATAGGATCCGGGGGCTCGGGACCCGCGTTGCGCCTAGTCACGGGACTCTTGTTAATTAGCTGCCCTCTGTGCGCTCTGTATAGTGTGGTGTATTGTGCAGTGTATTGTCTGTTGGTCGATGGCGTTTTCGAGCCCGTCTGGTGACTCATGTCCCTCGCCTCTCATGTCTCGTCTCTGGCACAATGCATACAATACAGAATATGATGCCAATGTTGCTGCCAATGTTGCTGCCACAAACGCCACAGTCATGACATGACTTGCAGGCCGACACCATCTTGACGAGCCCGCCCTCTCTGCCCAAGCCTGTCCAAGCCTGCTCATGTGTGTTTTCCTTGGGCCCAAACACCACACCCGTCCATTACCTTGACTTGTTGTACCCTGTACTCTGTGCTCTGTACTCTGTACCCCATATTCTCTCTCCTCTTCCCGGGCGGTTGACCCATGAGGGCGACTCAACTGATCTATGTTATCCATCGCCGGAAAAAGACAAGCCTATATGTCTGCTTCCACTCGTCGCCACTCCATCAACCGGTCAGCAAGTCAAGTCCATAGACGCCCCTCCAGTCCCGTCATCTCCACGACTTGCCTGCGCAAAAAAATCCACTTCCTATCCCAGTCTGCTCTAAACTCTACCGCCTCCAAGAACCCCCCTTTCATCCCGGCACCGTGAGCAAGCCAGGCTCCGCTCCTGGGAGCCAACCACACTTGCGAGCTCGTCCTTGTCATCCGGCAGCGTCCCATGCACGGCACTGCCGTTTGCTTGGAACTGGGCTGGGTCAAGTGGGCTCTTTTCGCCTGTCCCAACGGACGGGAGCAAAGGCCCGTCGCGCAAACTCGCAGCAGCGCAAAAGAGCGCGTTCACGGAAAAAGAGGGCAAAATTGGAGAATGACCGCCACTTCTATCTGCCCGCACCGCTCCCGTACGGCCCTGTACGGCCCTTCCTAGCCCGCGAATGCTGACACGGGCGGTGTGAGCGAGGCCCGTGAGGGGTGAAGGTCTGCCGTCTGTTGCTTGCTCTTGCCCTCGTTTTCCGAGTCCGCTGATTTCAATATTCCCTTCGGCCGGCATCGCCAGTGGTGAATCTCCCCTCTTGTCTGCCATGGACAGATCGTCGCCTGCGCTTGGCTTGGAGTACGTTTCGACATGATGGTTGAGCAATACTGCAGAATAGCATAACCCCCCTTGGTGATGGCCGACGATACCCTCCCCGTCCTCTGTGCTGAGCTGAATTCGTTTCCTAACTCTTGTCCCATCGTTTCGTCAACAGCTTCGTGTGCGCGCCAGTTCCGAGTCTGGGAGTGACGGTGGCCATCGATACATTGATACTTGCCCCTCCTGCTCAACCCCCCGATCCAGAACCCGGGTAGTTATTTAGCAGTTGAACGACCTCGCTCTTTCCGTGAGCAACAGCCACAGTCCACTTGTCCACGTCCTTTAAACCCCCCCTTACCTGCCGCACCCCAGCACTGGATTCATTGCATTGCCAGGTCCGAGAGTCGTTGCCAAATTTACTCTGCCGGTCTTGTTGCAAGATTATTGGACTGGGCCGCATGGTATGATACTTGCCAGACCGTTGGAGGCGCATCATCTCTCCCACTCCCATGGGAAAGACAGGGAAGTGGCGTAAATTCGACTGGCCGTCACCAGACCACACTAGTACTAGCCTGCGTGAACACACAGATGTAAGAGGCAGACTGGGTTGGCCCTAGGCAACTGGGCAAACTGCCAGGATCAGGGTCCTCAGTCCCGACCGTCTGCCGACACCATATCCAAACTTGCTCGACTCGTTGAACCACTCCTCTGCCATGAAGCCGCACGCATCTGTCCCGTGACACGGGTTTGAATCCCCCTCCACTCCTACTCGTTCCGAACCACGCCCATGCGGGCTCCGCACACTTACCCACAGACGAATCGTGAACTCAGGGGCGAAAAGGATGACGGGGCCGTAGTGGTTAGTTACTGCGGGCCTGGAGTACTCGAGCAATAAATCGTTCTCGATGATGTGCCTGTAATCATCTCGTGTCAAGTGTATGCCAAAAGTACGAATCCCATGGAGCAATGGCTAGACCACCCACCTCGTCGATATCGGCCTTCTGTTCAGAACTATGTCCAAGGCCACCTGAACAAAAGTCGGTGCGGGGCATCAGACCCTTCAGACGTTTGTTGGCTTGCTCGGATGGGCCCCCGAGGAGGCCGCATATCCCCTCCCTTCCGGTCTTTCAAATGAACCAACGCCCCATACACGATGCTGGCGCCTCCCAAGGCGCCTTCTCTTGGTGTCGGCTCCGTAAAGTCATGTTGTCAAGATTTGATCAATGCAAGGTTGTTCCATGTATGTCATGTATGCGTCGAACTATTCTGACAAGGCACCGGACGTGATGACCTGAGGCGAAAAAAAAAATTTTCATCATGAATTAGCATTCTGTATTGCTAAGACGTAAATAGTGTATGTCTCCTGCCCCATGAACGAGGCAGCAATGCCCATCCACACGCCAATTGAACACCAGCGAGAACACGCTTAGATCGCTTGCGCGACGGGGTACCCTAACTGTCTGTAGACAAAACAAGACCGACCAATCCTCCCTTGATTTTTAAGTAGACATTGTAATCGAGCCAGTCGCAATAAAAAGGGGGACAAACCAGAAACGAGAGAATATCAAATTAGCAAAAAAAGCCAAAACGTTTGGTGCCGCGAGGCATATCCGTCTTCTTACTAACATGAAACGAAAAAACACAGCGAAGATAAATAGAGCCAAGCCTATCCATTACAGCATATGCAGAAACAATAGTGAAGCCACCCTTGAGTTATCCCGCCCCCAATTACCTTTTGTTACTTGCCGCCATGAAGGAGAGGGTCTGAACTGCTTCGGGCCCTATCAATGCCGCCGACAAGAGTGAGAAAACACACATGCGTGCAAGACTATTGGAGGGCAAAGAAACAGGTAAAGACGTAAAGAACATGGAAACGACTGGGGAATTGAGCCGCGGGTACAACACCGAGCGGGCAAAAAATAGCAAATAATGTAAGCGAGAAAAAAAGAGACAAGAAAGTCAAGTGTTTGTTGCCAAACCAATGATTGTTCTAATTTGGGTTCCGCCGACCTTTTATCGTTGCAAAACCACACCCCCCAGAGTTTGTTCTCCAAAATCGTTAATTTGATGTGCGCGTTCATATCATCTCGTCAACGAGATGAATGGCTGGAATTGTCGAAAAGCTAGTCGACGCAGCCATTCGGGAAAAAACGTGCGCACAAATTGACCAACTGTCCGGCAGTGTCAACCTAATTTTTGTAGTTTTTTTCTGGTTTCAGCTTTGCTTTTTCTTCAAGAAAAAACCCCCAGCTCCATAGAAATCCCCAGATGGCAGACTTGGGCCATTCCAAGCTTTCGACCACCGAAAAACCCCCGCCTTTTCGCTCCGTCGCCCATATAAGTAGAAGCGCCGATGCTTTTTTTAATGAGACGTGTCCCGTCAGGACGCACCTGGTGGCGATCCCTTGACGTCTCGAGGCCGGTTGAGACGATCAATCATTCCCTTATCGATGTCGTTTTTATCAACAAGATTGCTCAGACTCATCACAGAAGAAGAAGCCTGCTGGGGTTGGCGCTGAGCTTGCGATGGCGTTGAAGCTCCGCTGGAGCCGTTCTGACCTGGCGAGTGACCTCCAGGAGCAACGGCACCGTGACCCGCAGTTGCCGGTGGCTGTGGCAAAGATGGATTTCGGGGACTTTGCCTAGGGCCGCTGCCCTGATACGGGAGATGTCCAAGTCCTCCGGGACTCCCATTGCTTGAGGCTTCAGCAGGAGACCTTCTGCGAGGATCGTCGTCGGGCATGGTGTTTCGGGGGGGAGGGAGGCGATATCCTTCCTCTTGTTCTTCTGGTGTTCGACGTCGTCGCCGCCCTACTACTTGGTCATCTCCTCTCTGGTCTCCATATGATGAGAATGAATCAGTTGGAGATTGCATCGGCTGATAAAAATTCCCAGCGGCGGCAGGAGGGGGCGGGGGCGGGCCACCGGTAGCAGCGTAGTGATGAGCAGATGGTACCGAATTAGGTGCCAAAGGTTGGCCGTAGGCTCCAAAAAGCTGGGTACCAGGAGGAACGCCACCTGGTACTGCAGAGACGGGAATAAATGCTGTAGAGCTTGAAGAAGAAACCGGTTGAAAGATGCACTCTTGATTCATGCGGGCACAATTTTGACACTTTCCGCCTGGGGCACTCTGATAGCCGCTGCATCGAATCTTAAAAATTTATGTGTCAGCAAGCGGATAGACCAGTCGATAAGTAGGGTATCGAAGGGAAGAACAAGAATGCCAATTATGTTCTTAGGCGTGCTGGAGCTAGAGAACAAACCTTGCGTTTTCTGCAGTACCTGCAAGCAATGGAAGTCCGCTGCCGGGGGGCGGCCTGGGCCATTTGGGGCGGCGCATTGCCCGGCTGAGCATACTCTGAGCCATATGCGCCAGGATGTGGTCTTGGATAACCGTTTGGAGGAGCGCCAGGAGGTCCTCGATAGAAATAGGCGTCTTGGCCATAGGCGGCGTCGGGGTGAGGTGGCCCTCTGCGGTCATCATAGTACGGCCCTCTGTGCTCCGGATGGGGATAGGAAGAGCCTCTTGGATCCTGAGACTGCATTGGCGGCAGGTACGCAGCTGGTGGCTGCTGGCCGGCTGGTGGTGGTGGGTAGCCGTTTACTGCGTTTGGCGAGGCGAAACGAGGATCGTGGGGATAGCCTCGTCCACCGGAGGGGGGAGCAGGAGCGCCATAGCTGCTGGAGCGCGGGTCATGAATAGACGGAAGAGTAACGGATGCGGCCATGCTTGGTCGAGAAGAGTCTGACGATGCGCGAGGCTTGTCTGTCGGAGGAGGAGGGGGTTGGCGAGAGAGCTGCGATGGCTGATCCTCTGGGCGATTCTGCTGAGGACGGTCCTGGCGGTAGCGGTCGTCGGCCATGCTATGCCGTTCCAAAGGCCGAGGCACGGAGTTGGCCTCTGTCGGGGCAGAAGGCCAAGATGGATCAAGCTTCTCCTTTCTAGACAGGTGGGCAAATGATGACGTGCCGCTGGTGCATTACAGGTTATTGGGCGCAAAACAGACCAGACCGGGGGGTATTAGTTAACAACCGGCGCAACTAAGAGAGTAGTTGACGCCGAGTCTTGAATTCCTCTTTGACGGTGAAAAGGAGAAAAGAGGTCGACCTGGAAATATTTCCTTGATGGAACAAGTCGCGCGCAAAGACGCCAAGTGCGGGTCTGTTGTGATGGCGGAGTGGCAGACGGAGGCTCAGAGTTGCGCTGCGTGGAGACGGCAGAAAGGAATCCTCGAGGCAACAACACCAGCGTTGGATGGCAATCGAAGTTGATTTGGAAACAAAAAGCCGAACGTTCAAATGCAACGCCAGATGAATTTGACTGTATGCGAGCGGGCGCGACGGGCAAGGGCAAGGCCAACTCCAACCCCTACTCCAACTCGGGCAACAAGGCAAGGCTGTGGGATGATGTCGAACCCGCACACACTACGGCGTACTCGGATCGAAATCGGGATGCAAATGCAAGACTAGTATCCCAGCGTCCGGTATCCGGTATCCAGGATCCAGTGTCCAGTCCAGCAATAGGCGATGGAGAGAATGCACTCACTCTCTCCAGAGGAATCTGCGACGATAGCAGAGGGCGAGAGAGAGAGAGTGCGAGTGCGAGTGAAGAGGATGGTTGTGGAGGAGGAGAAGTCAGGTTGGGACCCGAGCGAGAAATAAGTGTGTGGTGAGTGGTGAGTGGTGTGGTGCGTGGTGTGTGTGAACGTGGTGCGTGGTGTGTGGTGGGTGAGGCCTGGTGTGCGGGAAGGTGCGAGGTGCATGCGCAGAGCAGTGGGAAAGAAGGCTAGGCAGAGGCAAGAGGAGAGTCAAAGGCGAGGCAAGGCAAAGCACACGATGAAGTGGTTTTGTAGACTACACTAGACGCAGTCAGATTAGAGAGGAGAGAGAGCAACTGAAGCAGCCAGCAAGTTGCTTGTACAAGTATGGAGACGGAGCACCAAACTCTTTCTTGTTCGCTGGTCTCCGTGCCTCCTTGCTCCCGTTGTCGCTGCTCCTCCGTACTGGGGCTGGGGATGGAACCGGGCGGGGGTGTGTCTAGTCATCTTGCACGGTGGTGTGCATCTAGACATGAAGACTGGACACATGTACTTGGCACTCGGTATACTGTACTTCACCTACGGAGTAGGTTAGGTACCTTGCTCATTGTGGTGGTGTCCAGGCCGTCGACTGTCGACTGCGCTCAAAATGCGCTCGGTGCCACAGCAATGACAACTACCACCACCACCAGCAAGCCCAGACACTTGAGTAGGGAACCAGCGTCCACGCCTGGAAAACAAAACTCTATTGGTTGAATGGCGCGACAAGGTTGACACCTAGCTGCTTGACACTGACGTTGTCTTCCAACGCTGGGCTTTGACTCCAGTGTGTGTATTGAGGCCATTCATTATTGCCATCTGGCGATAGACACCGGCCAGCCCGGTGTTGTGAGACGTCTCACTGTGCTGACTGCGGCCCTGAAGCTCTGACCAGACAAGAAATTCGCCATACGACCGTTCCGTGGCCCTATTTTTTATTTTCTTTTTCTTTTCCGCATTCCTTCCTTCTAATACCCAAGCCAACAGCTTAATAGGTTAGGATGGTGCAAGGCAATAATAACTGGCCCCCGTGAAGCTTCTGACGACATGGCATATCCCTGACATCATCTTCCAAGCAAAGCCTTTCTTTCCTAGTCTCTAGGCCAATGGGGAAAGTTACACAGTAGACCTGTCAGTCACTCTTCAGTGGTGGCAACTTGAAGCGCCTGAGATCAAGTGACGAATCCTGACTGGGTGGTGTCCTCGAGTGTACGGTCCACGGTCTACTACTTTGGAAGGGCCAACAGACAGAAACCTACAGAAACAGTTGGGGCTCGACGACAATTCAGAGGCCAGACCGCTAAAAGACTGAGGGCGCCCCGTGGTCCGTGGCATCTGGAACAGTGGAATTGGTGATGGCGCCCCGGACCGAGTAGTTGCGGAACCATAGCCGTGGCCGTGGGTGTTTCGCGTCTCTGTCCGTCTGCCAGTCAGTTTACCCAGCGCCAGCCGTATCGGTGTACCTACCGGCTTGTGCAATGAGGCGATGAGTCGTCTCGCCTGCCATTTTCTGCGTTGCGACTGCGTTTCCGTCCTTGCATTCGGCTTCTGAGGGGCAGCGCAACCAAACGGATGGGCAGGGCCTCGGGCAGAAGAGGGAGGGCGTGTCACTAGAGACCTAGCTGGCTCCAGGTTCAAGGTTCAAGGGCCAAGGAGCGAGGTCCAAGGTAAGGTCCAAGACCACCTTAGGCCGCAGCCCAGCCTGCTCACGCTTCTGTTATGCAGGGAAGACGAGAGGCAGACTGTGGGCGGTCGACGCGGAGTGGACAAGGCAAATGGCAAAAAACCTTGGGACGCATGGAATGACACGGCATGGGAACCCAGGAGACCCAGAAGACGGGAATGTAGTGACGGGCGGATGGGCCGGCGTCGTGCCGTTCCCAGTGCTCGGGCCCAGATTGAGGCTAACTGAGCTTGTTGGGTCTAGGGCAGCCTAATGGCAGCATTTGGAACCTGAGCCCGCTCGCCAGCCCCCGAGCACTTGAGGTCTTTGAGGCCTTGGAGCCGCCGAGTCCCTCCAGCCAAGCCTATGGTGGCCCATGAACAGCCAAGCATCTGGGCGTGACGACGGTCATGGTGATGTGACGCTGAGCTCAGATCCAGCAGAGTTGACCAGAACTTGACAACTGCTCCACGTATGCACTCCTTACTCTGTTCGGGTTGGATGGCTTCCAAAGTTGGGCCGAGCCGCAACCGGACTTCTCGCCAGCCAACCGGTCCTCCAAAGGGCCAACATTGAAGGGGCGTGTACTCGCCTTATTACCAACACCCACTGTTGTCGTGTAGTACGAAGGGAAAGATTTTCCCCCTTCTTGTCCCGTTTGGTCTGTCGTTTTCGGGGTTTGCTCAAGTGCCCTTTGCTTTGTTGCCCAATTCCCCGCCTTCTCCTTCAGTTGTGTTTCGCTTCGCATCCATTCATTGGACTATCAGGGTAGCCAGCCCCATCCGCTGACGATGGATTCTGCCGAGCAGAGGGTGACGGTTGAGGGAAGAGCCATGAAGCTTGGAAACGGGAACCGGCCCGTCCGCCAGCTCCCTCCCGCGGACAAATGCAATTCCGGACAGTTGGGGCTGGCTCAGATTCCTTTTTCTCGCTCCTCCAAATAAATCATTTTTAGAAAAGCGTAATAATAAAACAAACCAGCAAAATACTAACGCATCGGCAGGTGCGTCGGTATGGCCAAACCCATGATTCAATTGAATGCATGCCCACCACGGTCGGTCGTCGCTTTAGGTTTTCAGTGCCCGCGCACACGTATACGATGCCCATAAGCTGAAGACGGCCGCACTCAGAATACGGTGCATTGATCTGTGGGGTTCATCGCATAAAATGGTCTAGTTATTTTCTGGGCAGGCGTTCGGAGGCTCTTTTTGCATTGGGGAACAAGGTTCGGCGCGATACGACCCGACACCCGGTGCCAATGGTTTTATTGCTGCGTTTGACATGAGGTGCAGAGGCTTGCGTTCGCATAAATTGCCTTTCTGACTGCCGAGGATTCTGAAGGGCGGTGAAGACCATTCAATCTCGATGTATTCGGTCCAGTCGTATCTGACTACTCCGCAACAAGCCTTGTATACAAGTTCCATACGGAGTACATGTTTGGAGACGGCACTCGAGCACTACAACCTGGAAGTCCTTCGCCCTCAGTGCGCGGAAAAGGGAGTGCCCCGAGTAATAACAGACAATAAACAGAGGAAAGACCCGCAAGCTGTTCGGTCATGAGCCAGGCTATCTTCAAGGTCAGAATAATTATTTTTTTAAAAAAAAAGAGAGAGAAAATATGCAAGGGCAAGGTATTGCAACTGATTAAAGCACAATTTCCACGTCAACGCTCTCTTATATCCTCACTAGGACCTCTCAAGAGGCTTTGGCCTGTTTTCCGCGCCTTATGTATTTGCATTTTGGTTTGTTCTTGCAAATGTCTCGTCACCTCCTTGTTGATTGTAAAAAGGACCAGGGTCCCATGATTGCCCACAAGTTCTGTATTATTATGTATGCACCAGGGTACAAGCAATCCAGGTCAAGTAATATCGCAGCAGAGGGATACTACTACAGGCAGGACACGAATTGTACGGGCGGGAATGATGCGCATGCCCCTCACTGGCACCGGCATTGGCTTGACGGATGGGCGAGATGCGTGCCAAGGCAAAGGAGGTTGAGGTTCTCCATGCTCCCATGAGGATAAGGACGGTTGTTGGTGACGAAATCGATGGCGAACCATCATAAATTAGCCGCGACCCAACAGGGCGGATGGAGCAGCTCGTTGGCTACCGGTTATGCACCTCGTTGGTGTAAGCAAAGCAAAACAGGTTCCTTGTCGCCGCCGTTTCTGAACATGCTCAACGGCCATTAATGACAGCCGTATCCCGTACCCACGGCTGATGCCGCAATAGACGTGTCCCGTCTTGCCCGCTTACAAAACCCTGACCACGTTCCACCGAGATTCCTCCACAAAAAGACAACTGGCCCGCTCATGCCGCGGAAGCACCATGCAAATAAACGGAGGAGGAGACGCCCTGCTGGCGCAAGCGAGCGAGCCACAATCGGGCGATGAGAAGAAGTGTGCCAGACGCCACGAGAACAGTGGATAAGGGGTGTGCAGCCGTGGTGCTGGGTTCATGACAGGGGACTTGATGCGTGGCAGGGTGTGTGTGATATGGATGCGTGGATGCGTCGTGCTGTTGTGCGTGGCGTGTGGGCTGTGGTCGTGTGCGGAAGCAAGTCAGGGACTGCGTGCGTTACTGATGCCTACTACTTGGACTCGTTGGTAACCCACCGAGATGGT